CCGTACATCCAACTTTGACAGGTTCCAGTTTTCATTATAATTTACAAATTATAATATATTTATTTAACTCATATTTTTGTGAGTAAAAGTATCCTCCACAGAAAAGTACAGACTTGCGTTCAACCTTGTCAGGTTCTACCAACTCTTAAATTATAAAATATTATGCACAGTATGGTTCAGAGCTGCTTTCAACCTTGTCAGGTTCTACCAACTCTTAATTTTAAATTATAAAATATCCTGCACAGGAAGATACAGAGCTGCGTTCAACCTTGTCAGGTTCTACCAACTCTTAAATTATAAATATTATGCACAGGATGGTTCAGAGCTGTGTTCAACCTTGTCAGGTTCTAACGACTCTTAAATTTAAATTATAAAATATTATGCGCAAGAAGGTTCAGACCTCAACTTGGTCAGGTTATAATGGTCGATCGGAAGAAGTCAGAAAAATGGCTTCAGAAATCCCCGCTCAACGTAGGAAGTCAGAAAATTGAGTCTTGCCTCAAGACTGCTTGGGGGAAGTCAGAAAAATGGCTTCAGAAATCCCCGCTCAACACAAGAAGTCAGAAAAATGACTCTGCCTCAGGACCACTCGAGGGAAGTCAGAAAAATGGCTTCAGAAATCCGCTCAACGCAGGAAGTCAGAAAAATGACTCCTGCCTCAAGAGCGCTCGGGGAAAGTCAGAAAAATGGCTTCAGAAATCCCCGCTCAACGTAAGAAGTTAGAAAAATGACTCATACCTCAGGACTGCTCGGGGGAAGTCAGAAAAATGGCTTCAGAAATCCCCGCTCAATGCAGGAAGTCAGAAAAATGACTCCTGCCTCAAGCCGCTCGGGGGAAAGTCAGAAAAATGGCTTCAGAAATCCCCGCTCAACGCAGGAAGTTCTAAAAAGAACTCTTATCAGTCAACTACTCAACAGGTTCAGCTTTGTCAGGTTCCAATGCCTTTTCATTATAAAAATAAATATTGAAGCGTTTACTTTATTTAAAAGCATATTTTTTGGAGTGAAAATCTCTTGGAGAGGAAAAAGTTTCAAAGAGAACTCTTAGCATTTTTTGTTCAGTCTCAGGATCCAAAGAGAACCCTAGAGTTTGCTTCTTGTTACATAGAGCAATGAAGACTTAAAACATCGAAGATAGACTCCCTAAATACAACGTGAGCGACCTCTTTTAAAGCTCAAAATAATCCCTATGCACCTATTTTAATAAAGAGTTTGCTCGGACTTGGGGGGCTTATGTACTATATGAAATATATCGATCGGAGTTAATGGTCATTCATGGGCAATTATCAGGTATTAATAAGTCAGATTACCTTACGCTCTACAAATATACGATATTAATTATTGATTATTGGGTTTGATTCCCTAAAATTATACTGCACTAATAACTAATCAATGGACTTGACTGCCACAAACTCTATAAATAATACAACATGTCAGCCACAAGGATCTTCTTCTATCCTAATAAAATATAGACCTCTTTATGAAACATATCTGACTTGAGCGTCAGAGTGTCTTCTGCAGGTCAACCACCAATCGGGAATGATTACTTGAAGAGTTGGCCGATCGGAGCATAGCAAGGAAGGACAACCGACCATCAGACAAATGTTACTGAAACACCTATTATTATTATTATTATTATTATATATATATATATATATATATATATATAT